TGTCCTACTTTCAAAGTACTGCAGTACTTTCCAGGTGTCTCAGTGCTCAATCGCCTGTTTCGGCCTGTTCGGGGATGTTCGGGAAGGTCACTTTGGTGCATCAGTACTTTGGAAGTATTACAGTACTTTCAAAGCACTGTCCCACTTTCAAAGTACTGCAGTACTTTCCGGGTGTCTCAGTGCTCAATCGCCTGTTTCGGCCTATTCGGGGATGTTCGGGAAGGTCACTTTGGTGCATCAGTACTTTGGAAGTATTACAGTACTTTCAAAGCACTGTCCTACTTTCAAAGTACTGCAGTACTTTCCAGGTGTCTCAGTGCTCAATCGCCTGTTTCGGCCTGTTCTGGGGATGTTCGGGAAGGTCACTTTGGTGCATCAGTACTTTGGAAGTATTACAGTACTTTCAAAGCACTGTCCTACTTTCAAAGTACTGCAGTACTTTCCAGGTGTCTCAGTGCTCAATCGCCTGTTTCGGCCTGTTCGGGGATGTTCGGGAAGGTCACTTTGGTGCATCAGTACTTTGGAAGTATTACAGTACTTTGAAAGCACTGTCCTACTTTCAAAGTACTGCAGTACTTTCCAGGTGCCTCAGTGCTCAATCGCCTGTTTCGGCCTATTCTGGGGGATGTTCGGGAAGGTCACTTTGGTGCATCAGTACTTTGGAAGTATTACAGTACTTTCAAAGCACTGTCCTACTTTCAAAGTACTGCAGTACTTTCCAGGTGTCTCAGTGCTCAATCGCCTGTTTCGGCCTGTTCGGGGATGTTCGGGAAGGTCACTTTGGTGCATCAGTACTTTGGAAGTATTACAGTACTTTCAAAGCACTGTCCTACTTTCAAAGTACTGCAGTACTTTCCAGGTGCCTCAGTGCTCAATCGCCTGTTTCGGCCTATTCGGGGATGTTCGGGAAGGTCACTTTGGTGCATCAGTACTTTGGAAGTATTACAGTACTTTCAAAGCACTGTCCTACTTTCAAAGTACTGCAGTACTTTCCAGGTGTCTCAGTGCTCAATCGCCTGTTTCGGCCTGTTCGGGGATGTTCGGGAAGGTCACTTTGGTGCATCAGTACTTTGGAAGTATTACAGTACTTTCAAAGCACTGTCCTACTTTCAAAGTACTGCAGTACTTTCCAGGTGTCTCAGTGCTCAATCGCCTGTTTCGGCCTGTTCGGGGATGTTCGGGAAGGTCACTTTGGTGCATCAGTACTTTGGAAGTATTACAGTACTTTCAAAGCACTGTCCTACTTTCAAAGTACTGCAGTACTTTCCAGGTGTCTCAGTGCTCAATCGCCTGTTTCGGCCTGTTCGGGGATGTTCGGGAAGGTCACTTTGGTGCATCAGTACTTTGGAAGTATTACAGTACTTTCAAAGCACTGTCCTACTTTCAAAGTACTGCAGTACTTTCCAGGTGTCTCAGTGCTCAATCGCCTGTTTCGGCCTGTTCGGGGATGTTCGGGAAGGTCACTTTGGTGCATCAGTACTTTGGAAGTATTACAGTACTTTCAAAGCACTGTCCTACTTTCAAAGTACTGCAGTACTTTCCAGGTGCCTCAGTGCTCAATCGCCTGTTTCGGCCTATTCGGGGATGTTCGGGAAGGTCACTTTGGTGCATCAGTACTTTGGAAGTATTACAGTACTTTCAAAGCACTGTCCTACTTTCAAAGTACTGCAGTACTTTCCAGGTGCCTCAGTGCTCAATCGCCTGTTTCGGCCTATTCGGGGATGTTCGGGAAGGACACTTTGGTGCATCAGTACTTTGGAAGTATTACAGTATTTTCAAAGCACTGTCCTACTTTCAAAGTACTGCAGTACTTTCCAGGTGTCTCAGTGCTCAATCGCCTGTTTCGGCCTGTTCGGGGATGTTCGGGAAGGTCACTTTGGTGCATCAGTACTTTGGAAGTATTACAGTACTTTCAAAGCACTGTCCTACTTTCAAAGTACTGCAGTACTTTCCAGGTGTCTCAGTGATCAATCGCCTGTTTCGGCCTGTTCGGGGATGTTCGGGAAGGTCACTTTGGTGCATCAGTACTTTGGAAGTATTACAGTACTTTCAAAGCACTGTCCTACTTTCAAAGTACTGCAGTACTTTCCAGGTGTCTCAGTGCTCAATCGCCTGTTTCGGCCTGTTCGGGGATGTTCGGGAAGGTCACTTTGGTGCATCAGTACTTTGGAAGTATTACAGTACTTTCAAAGCACTGTCCTACTTTCAAAGTACTGCAGTACTTTCCAGGTGCCTCAGTGCTCAATCGCCTGTTTCGGCCTATTCGGGGATGTTCGGGAAGGTCACTTTGTTGCATCAGTACTTTGGAAGTATTACAGTATTTTCAAAGCACTGTCCTACTTTCAAAGTACTGCAGTACTTTCCAGGTGTCTCAGTGCTCAATCGCCTGTTTCGGCCTGTTCGGGGATGTTCGGGAAGGTCACTTTGGTGCATCAGTACTTTGGAAGTATTACAGTACTTTCAAAGCACTGTCCTACTTTCAAAGTACTGCAGTACTTTCCAGGTGCCTCAGTGCTCAATCGCCTGTTTCGGCCTATTCGGGGATGTTCGGGAAGGTCACTTTGGTGCATCAGTACTTTGGAAGTATTACAGTACTTTCAAAGCACTGTCCTACTTTCAAAGTACTGCAGTACTTTCCAGGTGTCTCAGTGCTCAATCGCCTGTTTCGGCCTGTTCGGGGATGTTCGGGAAGGTCACTTTGGTGCATCAGTACTTTGGAAGTATTACAGTACTTTCAAAGCACTGTCCTACTTTCAAAGTACTGCAGTACTTTCCAGGTGTCTCAGTGCTCAATCGCCTGTTTCGGCCTGTTCGGGGATGTTCGGGAAGGTCACTTTGGTGCATCAGTACTTTGGAAGTATTACAGTACTTTCAAAGCACTGTCCTACTTTCAAAGTACTGCAGTACTTTCCAGGTGCCTCAGTGCTCAATCGCCTGTTTCGGCCTATTCGGGGATGTTCGGGAAGGTCACTTTGGTGCATCAGTACTTTGGAAGTATTACAGTGCTTTGAAAGTTGGACGTAGGGGTAATACTTTCACCGTACTGATGCACCAAAGTGACCTTCCCGAACATCCCCGAACAGGCCGAAACAGATGACTGAGCGCTGAGACACCTGGAATGTACTGTAGTACTTTGAAAGTAGAACAGTACTTTGATAGTGGTATAATACTGCCATAGTAATGATGCACCAAAGTGATTGAGACACCTGAAAGTACTGCAGTGCCGAATAAAGCAAAGTGCTGCTACGCTTTGAAAATACTATAATACTTTGCAGCTAAGTACTAGCTTTTAATGTTTACCATAAACAATCGGATTCGAGTTAGTACTGAATAAATGTGCGATTCATTAGTAGAGTTAATCTTTGATAAAAAAACACACAATGAAACCAAATAGAAATACTGTAATTAAGGTAGACTTTTCTCGAGCTGATTGTACCTCGCTTACACATTTTTCAGGTATAGAACTACTTTCTACCTTAATTTTTTTGGAAAGAATATGTTTTAGTTGTAGTGTGGTGGTACTGGAAGATTATAATGTACTGCAGTACTTTGTAGCAGGGCAGTACTTGTGCAAATGCCCCATATACTGTTCGCCTGTTTCGGGATGTTCGGCGGTGTTCGGGAAGATCACCTTGAAAATGTATTGGTAGTACTGTATTATATTATTTTGAAATAAATACTGCAATATCTGTAGTGCGTAAGTACTTACTGTAAAGTGCTTTCGCCATCGTTCACACCACAAATCGGTCGATTTACGAGGTAATTCCGACGGCTTTCAAGTTGACTTACAAGGCGCTGCTGCAAATTATACAGTATGCACCTTGGCCCAGTATTAATTTGTGTATAATACGCAGTGCAAGTATGGCATTAGCAGTTATTTAGCACCACATTTGTTTTACAGTAGTACTGCTACCCGTAGTACTCATCGTTGTCTTACAACCCTTTTACTAACTCACGGTTTGTTGGTGTTGTTGCTGTTGTTGCATAAACATACAGCAACTCATACTCATCCTTTTACTAACACACAGTTTGTTAACTCATCGCGACGAAAATTGACTAAGCACAAACTGTCTCCAAGCGACTGTTAAAGAAGCATGCGATATCAAAGAAACCATTATTGTCAGTAAAAGTACTGACTAAGTTTTTGTAATAGTTAGTATGGGCTTTATGGTTGCATGAGTACTGTACTGCCCAATAATGCGCATTCTGGTTCAAATCAGTACTGTAGTTAACTATCAATCTATTAATAACAGTTTAATAAATACACTAACTATCTAAGAAAAGCAGCATGTGAATCAGTATGACTGCAGTGCAAACAGTCTGTGTAATCACAAATAAAAAAAATTCGCTGAAAAACAGGAAATATACTGTACAGAAATTTCTGTACTATGATACTGACCGAAGTTAATGGCGCCACTGTACTCTAAAATACTTAGTATGCTGCTGCCCCAAACCCCACGTGTACGACTGCGGTTGAGTGTAAAACAATGGAAGTTATTGAACTAAGGCTTTAAATTTTAAATTGGTTTATGGGTCAGAGTTTTAGTAATGCAAAGTTATACCCTTAATATGCCCCAGTGCTCGAACACGACGTGAATTTTCTCGATGTCGATAAACAACCTGAAAAAATTTAATGAAGCGTAAATACTTGTAAATGCAATTATGCAAGTACCAGTGGTGCACAAAAATATGAACCATAATGTTCATAAACATGCACCATAATATAAGGGGCATATATGGGCAGAGTAGCAAGCGGCGAAGGGGTGACGATAGATACTATACTCTGTACAATAACTGACAATTGTGAGGTAAGTAGTGGTCAGGTTCATGGTGCACAAAACATACGGTGCATGCACCAGTGGTGCATAAATATGCACCGTTGGTACGGATCTTTACTGGTGCCAGTAAGACAAACTAGTAATATTAATTGCATACGTATGGTATCTGGTACAGCCATGAAAACGTGCCATGAAATTAAAATAATATGAACCAGATCATCACCGGAATTCACGAAACTGGTACTGATCACGCAGTCGCATTTGTGTTTGGAGCCGGGCTTGATGAGCTTAAATCCAGTTGCAACTGGAAAAGCAGCAGTTGATAGGTGATGTACGTTCCAATAATCTAACCCAACAACAGAACCATACAGTCAACTATAAGTAACTACAACAAGCAGCTGACTTTGCATGCAAAATGACTTCTTTGCTTACGCTCATTGCAAAAACCTTATCAACAAGAAAAAAACCACCGGCGCTAAGTCCAATTCCAGCTCCCGATAATCTGTTAAGAAAAAGCTGCAAGTGCTGCATTTCTCCTGGTTTCAGTTTTGCACAGCTTAATTTGTAGAGAATTTTTGCAGGAGTGTGAGCCTGTAAAAAAATGATAACCGCTTAGTACAGCTGCGTAAAGTAGTATCACTAACCACTGGATAAAGTCAACAGTAAAAGTAAACGAAATATGAAAAGGCTTCTGCGTGCAGCGGCGAAAGTGACAGCGCTTACCGCAGTGTTGACCTTTACTCCAGCTGCAATAATGATGGCTAGTTGTAAAACATGTAACAAGCACCAGAAGCATTGAATAGCGGCCATTGGAATGGATAATAAACCTTTCGAACAGTTCTCAGCCACGATGAAGACAACCGTAAATACCGCGATAACATTTAAAAAAACAATCAAAAACACCATATTACTAAAAATGTCATCGACAAAATCGAGTAATGTGCACAGTTTTTCGTGCTGTTCCCGGTACCAGTCGACACTATATGAAATTAATTCTCCTTTAACGACATTGTTCCGAAGATGTTCGGTCAGCTCATTGAATTCTGAAGCAAGCGCACAACTAAGAAGATACAGCAAAGCCAACGGTATCAGATACGCTAACGTGGAGAAGAAATGACCGACTAAGGTCACCACCGTCGCCACTGTGCGGTAGTTATCGAATCCAGCGTAAATGAAATTTCGTTCTCCATCGAATGTCCCGTTATCAATAGCGAGAATCACCCAAGTCATTAGCAGGTTGATTAATAACAGAATTACTGTAGAAAAGACCGTGAAATTTCGTTGCCGCTGCAGTAATTGAGAATGCCGTAAATTGGTATGGCAGAATCTGAGAGCTTCCCATTCGATAAACAACTGCGCGAGTAATTTTTCTCGGCAGGCGCGAACGGTAAACCAACTAAGCACGAATACGATGCCGTACCAAATTACCACGGAAAATACGTTAACGCAGCCGGATAAGTTTTTGTTACTGATGGGATCATCGGCACGCATCATAACTTGTGCACTGTACACACTTTTGCCCAAATAGCACAGTATAGCGACGATTGCACAGCAGTTCCATAATTCGAAAAATGATTCGCGTAGATTATGCTTTCGGGCTTTGAATGCTGTTACCGCATCGCCAGAGAATCCTTTGTCGACTGGATTGACCTTTGGCAAGAAAAACAATCCACTGACGCGCAGTAAAGTTAGCAGCGGACTGCACAGCTTATATAGCCGAGTGTGCGCGACATCCATTGCAAAGGAAGTTTCACTACTATACTTCTACTGCTGTTACCTTTTTTTCAAAGCAGGGGTGAATTAACAGCAAGACCAATTGTACCGTACGTTAGTTACAAACCTACTGTTAACTTTGTTAACGTGAACGAAGCATCTCATACTGCACTCAATCATCGCGATCCGTTTCACGACAAGTGACATGCTGTACTGTACGTAGTGGCATTTGAACAATTGGTGTATTTGTATTGGGATGTAGGAAACTTATACTCGCGACGCAGGAAATTACACCGCGGTTCAAAGGCGCGGGCAAAGAAAGGAAATACTTCTGTGGCGCAAACTATCGGCTGTCAGCCCATCTCAGGTGTCTGGGAAACCTTATTTAACGGTTTAATATGTTTACTTTTCAGCGACTGCGCTCCGAACATGTCTGTCGAAAGTGGGTAAACAGTGATTAAGTACAATTAAGGATGTAGCTGGTTCCGAAAAGCAATTTCAGCACAGTGTGAATCCCTGCTTTAAAATGTATTGCTAAACTCCAAAAAGTGCTGCTTTCCTTGTAGAAAATACATCGATTTAATAACTACCCATAGAAAATGTCTGCGTCAGATCGCACACTCGTAGCCAAATGAAAAAGCAAACGGCCTACAGTTGTACCAACGGTACTGTGCCGATAATCTATAAAAAAATAAAACTCTTTCACTATAAAACCGGAAAACATTCCATCTGCTAGGAGACCAAAACTCCCATCTATTTAGCTGACAAGCTCCGGGATCACCGAGAATGTGGCAATAAAAACTCACAAAATTCCACAAGGTGCGGAAACGATTATAATCTGTCAGCAAACGATATAAACTATAAATTTAAACCAAAGACAATTTTTTATCACTCAATATGTGACAGTTCGTCAACAGGTTTACACGCGCACTTTATCACTCGATTCCAGTAGGAGGTTCAGCAGCCACATGGATCTGCAGCTTCAATGAAAAATCCGTGGGATTGACGTAGCCTTTCGACGGATCCAGTAACTCCTGAGAAGACAAACTTACGTGAACAACATGTATGACGTAACCCAGACTTTTAACATGAAACTCGCCTCCATAGAGATATATTCCGGGAATCCCCAGCCATGGTGTTCCTTGGTGTACAAATGGGAAATCTCTAAAACGTTGAAGAGTACAAGCTACGTTTTACGAATATTACAATCATGGGTACAAGCAAGCATACTCTTCTTAATTGCTGCAGTTCCCGTTTTCCATGGCAGCAGGCATAGCTCTGCCTCAGCCCGGCACGTCCAAGGAGTCGACTTCGGATAGTCAGCGCAACGCAGGTAAAAGCCGAGAAAAGCAGATTCACGGTCATTTTTCTTGACAAGCATCTTCCTGCAAAACCATGTATCCCAACGGCGTTCATCGATTTTTCAAGTTCTAGCTACGAGAACTTCCTCACCAGCGCAGCTTTCCGATGGTTATGGGATCGCTGTAAATAGTCCCTGGCAGTACCCTTGCATCCGGAGCCGTATAGTAAATGACACGTACTACAAATGCCAAGACAAATACTACAAGAAAGCCTACCCTACACTTTTATCGACAACGTGAACACCCTAACTTTTTCGGGGCTCTGCAAGGAACAGAATTTGCGGCTTGACCGCGTCGTGCTTGTAGCGGAAGATGTCCCATAGCTCCGATTCAAGTAACAAACCAGTCTGACAAAACCATCCCACGCCACGTTAGATTATACTAATGATGATAATATTACGTTACTTTTAATACTGAAGTAAACTTATTGTATCACTGCGAGAAGTAGGCGGCTATTCTGCTTTCAAGCCAGGCAAGCGTTTTATTGATCACCAAAAATACTTTGCAACACGGTTACCTTAGCAGGGCCAGCCATGAGCTGCTCATTAATTAAGAGCGGGAATCGGACGAGATACAGAGCCGGTCCCAGCATTTTACGCCGATTAGAAGCAGACGACTCCGGAGAACGCTTATTGCACGCGTTCACAGCCCACCTGTCAACAACAAGACCTTTCCATATTACCAGTCAGGGCACAAATTAGTAAAAAATTCCTACGGACTTCCGGATCAATAAATTAGTGTCTTGTCTTCGAAGCACCTTAAAACGAGTGATTGCAAAATATCAGTGTGCACTGTGCACACATCATTTCTCTTAGGCCTTGTCCCGAATTCGAAGCGAATCTCGTTGCGATACAGCAACTCCACCTCGCGAGGTGGCTTCGCGTACCGTATCTGTAGGCGTGGCCACTGCAAACAGCCACCTCGTGTGGTTGAGCAACCGTACCATAACGAGATTCGCTTTGGATTCGGGACGAGGCCTTACTGCTTATTCGCTCACCAGTCAGTTTCAAGTAGAAAATTAAGCGTACAAGTAGTAGCAAAAGCGGGAAATAAATCATTGTAGCAACTTTTACAGTGCGCTTTATTTCTCCTTTTTCTGCTTATTTCGTTCCTTATTTGTACAGAAATTGTATAGGCTTTATTTCTCTGCAGTAGTGGCGCATGGTAGTAATGCACTGATGGTACAACTCCTGCCACTACCAAGAGGCCGTCCTTACTTTTCAACCGAACAATAGATGGTCTGCTCATCGGCGGCCAACGTCTCTCGCTGTAGAATCATTAGTAAGGTCTCCTGTTTGATGGCAGAGAAATAATCTGACAGCCAGACATGCTCCATGGATTCATCAATCAGACGCAAACACTCCTCCATGACGCTGGGCGATGCGCATTCACAACCAATAGCCTACACAGGAGAATAAATAACTAACGAGAAAAAAAGCTGAGTGTACGACAAATTGAAGCAGCCAAGGACACCAACCTTCTCCAAAATTTACAGGCAGCTGTCCATGTCGAGATCATTCACGATAAAGCGGGTGCACACACCAACCAGCGAGGATAAGTCATATTTGTCAGCGCAGCTCAACGTGTGGAACACGTTATCGCTGTTGAGATTCTCCACGGTGTCCGTGTAGATAAAGCTACAACCAGTAAACCGATTCACTGTATGCAATCCTGAACATGTAGCAGTATGCCTGGAAATGTTGCCAAAGAGCACACAGACCTCAGCATATTAGCGAAAGCGTCAGGGTGGATATCCGGGATATCAATGGGAGCAGAGCAGTCCTCTGGTATGCTTCCGCAGAACATGGTGTGGAACACAAAACTACGGGCTCCCATGATGAGTCTGCACAAACAATAACGAATGCATCCATCAGACCACATTACAAAGAACTTCCTTTCACCAGCTGCGAACACTCAAACTAGAAGCAAAGCACCTGTGAGCTCGAAATATCCGCACTGCGCCATACTGACGTCCGACAGCGAACTGCACATCACTCGATTCGCCACAGGCTAACATCTGTTTCAGACACTCAGCAATCTTCCAGACATCACCACGATTATCTTGTTTGGACGATTCTGCTGAACTTTTAGACATGCTTCAGTCTTTAGAAGTTGAATAAGTCAGAAATTTTTACGAGCGCAGGTTCACGACCGTCTTGGGCAGAAGAGTTCGGACAAATTGCACAAGCAATAAAAACTACCCATGTTTTTCTACAAAACTGATTCAATCTGAAACTACGTACTGCATGGTATACGAGGCAAAGGCAAAGTGGCAAAAGTGTGCTGCTGTATGATACGAGTACTGTACAGTACTGTACTTTAAATATCTATAAGTACTCGTATAGAAAAGACCGTGAAATTTCATTGCCTTGCTGAAAATTAGAATGCCGTATACTGGTATGGCAAAATTAGAGATCTTTTGAGAGCAAAATTTTCCCATTCAACAAACAACTGCACGAGTAGGCCCGAACAGCGCGAACGGTAAACCAACTGAACACGAAGATAGATACAGTACGATATCGTACCAATGTACCAAATTACCACGCAAAATACGATAACGCAGCCGGATAAGTTTTGTTTCTGATCGGATCCTCGGTACGCATCTCTACTTGCGCTTTGTACACACTTTTGCCCACACAGCACATTATAATGACGACTGCACAGCAGTTCCATACTGTAATTCGAAAAATGGTTCGCGTAGGTTATGCTTTCGGGCTTTGAATGCCGTTACCACATCACCCGGGAAGCCAGCTTTGTCGACTGGATTGACCTTTTGCACGTAGAACAATCCACCGATGCGCGGTAAGGTCAACAGTGGACTGCAACAGCTTATGTCGAATACAGCCGACATCCATAAGGACGTTGCAAACTATCCTGTTGCTAGCTTTTTTTAATGCAGTTAATTTAACAGCGAAATCACTTTCAAACTTACTACAGTACTACATAGTTAACGTTCTTAACGTTAAAGAAATTAAAATTTGATCTCATTCTAGTACTGCACTCAACTGTCGCGATCCGCATTATATGTTATACATACTTCCAATAGTGGCATTTTGACAACTAAAATTGTGACCACAAAAGTTGGAGTGGAATATTATCATCAGTGCCATGATAACAATTAACAGGGTTTGTGAAATACATGGTATATTTTGTTTGTATTGTGGATGTAGGACTGTTACTCTTGCATACGTAGGAATGCAGGAAATTACACTGTTGTTAAAGGGTGAACTGAAATACTTCTGTTGCGCAAATATCGACAGTCAGCGTATCTCACCAGTCAGTTGCGTGGAAATTTAGTATTATTAACTTTCAAAGTATGTCCTCCCCGACCCTGTCTGTCAAAAGTGGATAATCACCTACGTACGTCATTGGTTCCGAAACGCAATTTGAGCACATTGTAAAATTCTTGTTTTAATGTTTTAATATGCAATTTCAAACTTCAAAAAAGGGCTCCTTTCGATTTGTTAACAGAAACAAGTCTGCGTCGGATCGGATAAATAAACTACAGCATTATTCAATGTAAACGGTCAAACTTCAAAAAAGGGATCTGGCAAAAGTCTGCGTTAGATCGCATACATAAACTGTATTCAATGTACGTACGAGTAAACTACAAACTTATCGTTAAAACCAAAGACAATTTTTTATCCATTAAATGCGCCACATTTCCTCGACACCAACGCACACTGTATCACTAAATTCCAGAGGGAGGTTCAACAGCCACTCGGATTTGCAGTCTCACGGAGAAATCAATAGGGCTGACGTAGCCTTTCGTGGGGTCCAGTAATTCCTGAAAATATCAGCATAGGTGAGCAATGTGTAACTCAAAACACACGAAAAACCCTCACCTTCATAGAGATATATTTCGGGAATCCCAAAATATGGTCCTGATTGCTGTACTGATGGCAAATCTCTAGAAAGGTTCAGAGTACCTTTCCGAAGGTTACAATCATGGGTTGTCTCAGGTTTCAATAACCATGTATTTAAGCATACCTCTCTTGACAGGTGCAGTTCCCGCTTTCCATGGCAGCAGACGTAGCTCTGCCCTAACCCGGCACGTCCACGGAGTCGATTTCGGGTAATAATCACAACGCAGATAGAAGCCGAGAAAGGTTGAGTCATCGTCATTTTTCTTAATCCTTATCTTCCTGCAAAACGATGCATATCAATGATGTCAAGCGTTGCTGGGTTTCTGCTTCATGATGTCTGCTTTCTCACCATTGCAGCTTTCGGATGGTTACAGGATTACTGTACATAGTGTTCTCCGGCAGCAACCTCACATCCGGAATCGTATAGTAAATGGCATGTACTAGAAAGGCCAAAGCGATGACTGCAACACAGACTGCATTTTTCGTCGCAGCCGTGAACGCGCGCTAACTTTGTCGGGGCTCCCCAATGAATGGAATCGGTGGCTTTACGGTGTCATGCTTGTAGCGGAAGATGTCCCATAGCTCCGACTGCAGTAACAAACCAGTCTGAAAAAAATCCCACATTTCGTACACATAGTATTGGTACTTCTGCAAGCACTGGCTAAATTGTAGCTTCAAACTAGGCAAGCGATGGTCATCAGTCACCAAAAACATTGTAAATTACGTGTACTCGTACCTTAGCTGGGCCAGCCATCAGCTGCTCATTGGTTAAAAGTGGGAAGCGGACGAGATACAGTGCCGGGCCCAGCATTGCACGCCGATTAACGGCAGACGCATCCCGAGAATTCTGAATGCACGCGTTCACAGCCCACCTGTCAACCAGAAAACTTTCAATATTACCAGCCAAGGCAAACAACTTAGCAGAAAATTTACGGACTTTCGGTTCAAGAATTCAGTGTCTTGTCTACGTAGCATCCTAAAAAGAGACGGATGCGTACGTAAAACTTCTCATATACACTACAGTACAGTGTCAGCTCACAGTTTCAGAATGCATACAGCAAAATTATTACTTCACATTTTCATTTCTATTACCCTTTATACGCTACTGTAGCATTTCTAGCAGAGATTAAGTGTAGCAGAAAAAGCGAGAAATAAATCATTATAGTAATTCCATAGAGCACCGTTTTCTCGCTTTTCCTACCACGCTTTACGCTTCATTCCTAGTGGAATGCGGTTAATTTCTCTGTGGTAGTAGCCCATAGTACAACTGTAATAACTCTGACCAATTTGCCAAGTCGAGAATACGGTGCTTTGCTTTCCTTACTTTTCAACAGACGAATAGATGATCTGCTCTTCGGCGGCTAACGTCTCTCGTTGGAGAATCATCAGTAACGTCTCCTGTCTGATGGCAGAGAAATAATCGGATTGCCAGACATGCTCCCTGGATTCATCAATCAGACGCAAACACTCTTCCGTGACACTGGGCGATTCGCATGTATGACGGTTAGCCTACACAAGAAAATAATTTATCTTGAAAAAAAACATTGGAGTATTTATACGACAAACGGGAGCAGCTTAGGAAACTAACCTTCTCCAAAATTTCTAGACAGCTGTCCATGTTGAGGCCGTTCACGATAAAGCGGGTGCACAGACCAACCAGCGATGACAAATCATATTTGTCAGCGCAACTCAGTGTGTGGAACACGTTATCGCTGTTGAGATTCTCCACGGTGTCCGTGTAGATGAAGCTACAACCAGTAAACCGATTCACTGTGCGCAATCCTGAACATGTAGCAGTATGCCTGGAAATGCTGCCAAAGAGCAAACCGACCTCAGCATATTAGCGAAGGCGTCAGGATGGATATCGGGAATATCAAGGGGAACTGAGCAGTCCTCTGGTATGCTTCCGTAGAACATGGTGTGGAACACAAAACTACGGGCTCCCATGATGAGTCTGCACAAACAACAACGACCGCATCAATCAGAACAGATTACATAAAACTCCCTTCCACCAAACTGCGAACAGTCGAAGACAGAGCAGATCAGTAGAGCTAAGCACCTGTGAGCAGAAAACATCTGCACTGCGCCATATTGACGTCCCGCTGCGAACTGTACATCGCTCGATTCGCCACAGGCTAGCATGTGTCTCAGACACTCCGCGATCTTCCCGATGTCACCGCGGTTATCCTGCTTGGAGGATTCTGCTGAACTTTTAGACATGCTTCAGACATTAATAAGTGATACTGCCGGGATTTTACGAGCGCAGACTCACAATCCTCTTGGACAAAGTTCGAACGAAAAAGGCAAAAAAGCATTGAAATTTTATCCGTTGGTAGATTAGAAGGAAAAAAAACTGGACCGTACCCGGACGGTACAGTACGGTACGGGCCGTACGGCGTACCGCACCGTATGTGGCAAGCTGCTGTACAATTGTACGACAATATTACGCAATACGGGTACAACCGGGCACGCAGAATTCATACTCATTTCCCGGCTTCTTTATTAAAATATTAATAAAATTACTTTATGGGCCGCAAAATTCGTGAATTAACTGGAGAGGCGCATTCAACTGGTTTTATCAAGCAACATTTCAATTTGGCTGTCATTAAGGGAAATGCTTTTGAAGTCTCAAGTACTTTACCTTTTAAGTTTTAACCCGCGGATGGATATAGGTTTTGGTTGCTTTTTAATGTTTAAGTTTTAACTGTCAAGTACTTACAAGTTAGTGTGCCTGTTTTGCGTTTTTTATGATTTGATGGCTGTTGCTTATTAAAGGCTGTCCTAACATCACAGTAATTATTTTAACAATGTCAAAACCTAAGCGGCGCGCAGAAAGATTTTTGCATACAGGGTACGGGTACATATATGTATATATATCTATATTTATGATACTTATATTTATAAAATTGCAGCTGACTGGTAAATGGTAATCTAATATTATGTTCGGCATTTTCACAGTATTGATGGAGAAACATGCGTCTGGCAACTGGAAATATTTGTTCCAAAATCTAATGGGAGGCGAAGGACTTCCTCAAACTGCAGTACTTTAATTACAGGATGTAGTCTCAGTTTACAGATGGTACAGCACTGCTGGTATTTTGATTTCCATAAATTCCACACGCAGGTAGGGGCATTTAGGAGCGCTAGAGATATTTCCTTCAGTGGACTGTGGAAGTTCGAATCAGAAGCATGGCCAGTGTCGCTTGCCGCAGTGCAAGGCGGTAGCGAGGATTCATCAGGAAACAAATTATCTGGGAAAAAAACAGGATCAATCATTACGCCACTTCAACCGACTACGAGCGCTGGAGCGCCTGCTGTCAAAAATGGGGAAAACATTACGAGCAAGTTACTTGTTAAGTGCTAAATGGATCAAAAACTAACCACAGTCTACGAGTACAACAAATTCGTCGGCGAAAAAGACTGGAGTTTTCCTTGCACATTCATTTATATGCAAGCGTATTTCTCGCGCTTTCTCGTATAACGTCTCGCGAAATGTTCCGAAGAACTTGACCTTAAACTTTATCTTATAGCTTTGCTTTTGCTTACAGGATTGACAGTATATCCAAGCAGCTGAGCGGCACCCATCCACATTACCATTAGCGGATAACGAACATCGTCTTCGTCAACGTGAACGATGGCAGCCAGCACCGGTAAAATAACTGAACACCCGCCAGCAAATACAAATGAGACACACATCATATTGGTGGTAACCATCCGCTTCTGGCGTATACTTTGCTGATTTTCGTGGATTCCTCTTTCAGGTTCGGTTTGGTGTCGCCTCGTAAGAATCTTAAGATAAATCGAGATGTATAACCCAGCCGTGATCACACTTGGCAGATAGAAAACAATCGTGTATAGTATCATTCCAAAGTGTCCTTTTGGTATACAAGCACATGTTCCTAATGGGATCATTACAAATGTCAAAGCCCAATCAAACCAGCCCAAAAGGGAAGTTCCAAAAGCTCCTATCCATATGAATGCCACAACAAAACCCTGGACAGTTTTACGGGAAAATCTACGATAATGATGCGGAAAGATCAGCGCCACTATCCGGTTGATAGCGATATAAAGGTCAAACCAGTGGGAAGCGAACCGCGCTCCCATCTGTATCCACTGGAACAGTTTGCAGTGTTTAGGGTCCATTTGCCAGTCGTATACAAGTTTGCGGTAAACACTAGTGCCAACAATGGGAAAACTGAAACCACATAGTATTGTATAAGTCAGGAGGCAGTGTGCGATTAGCAAGCCGCATCCGGTGCGGAGTTTTCGGTTGGCCAGGGTCAGACATACGATAAGTAGATTGCCAACGGCTCCTTTGAAGCACAGAAACAGATATACGGCGCCCCATGGTTTCACCAATTTGGCTGGAATGGAAATATTCACTGTGGTATTATGAAATGCGGCGCTATTTGTGGTGCAGTTCCAGGACATCGCGAACCTAAAAAACTGAATTTTCGTTATACGCGTTTAGTCGTTTATGCTGTCCTTGCTGTTCCAGGCGGAATTTGTACGGAAAGCGTATGTTCAAAAGATTTATCATCTGATTTATTTTCGACTATCCAAGCCCGTAAACAGACATTCTCACATGTCCTTATCCGTTGATGAGCATCAAAATTAATAAAGCTAGACTTGCCAAGTGCGTACTGTAGAACCTGCACAATCGAGGAAATACTTCATATTTTCGGCCTTCCTCTTGGGAATGTGCGTGTATATGGATTCTGTCTCGGCCGGCGCGGCAGCTTGGCTTTGTACTCGCACATGCTCATGTTTAATTAAAGGACTTTATTACAGTAACTGCGGCTGATTTCATAAATTTTTCTAAGCGCTTTGAGCCTTTGACTTCTGAATCCGTAAAACATACCAGTCGACACGCCCAGAAACAGGAACGTCACACAAGGAACATGCCATGCAGTCAAATAATTTCCGGCAATTTCTTGCAGGCTGCATTCCACAACGTGACTTTTAGCAAACTGAGATGCCAGATTTATTATTTAAATCACGTCAGGTTAGCGCACATGCACAAGCCGCTATGGACCTGCGTATCATGCGCTATGAGGTCAGTAGGAAGGCAAGCACAATAATTTTTCAAATTGAAAAATGACCTTGTCTCTGTTGCTTTCTCTCGATTGTTACCACAGACTTACGGGACCGCACAGCATCTTAATCACTTACTTACTAGTGTCATCACTCACCAGTAATGTATAACTTCGTCCATGGTGACTTCGATGATACTGCATTACCTTGCAGCCTGCAGGATGTATCGATAACTCGTAATAAAGCGCTCCTTCCGCAATGGAACGGAGCGGCTGTTGCGTTTGACCTTATCTTGTTTACAAAAGTGATCGTCACGGTTTCTATCTGTAATTACAGTATCTGAAGACTGAGTTTAATACTAAAAAACTCAGGACGTCAGACGCAGCAGCAAAAGATTATTTAGATAGTAGGAGTAAAAGCAAAACAGGAGCCCTACCAGAAGGTTAAATGAGGAGTAACTCGTTTTTGGGAATACATATCTAAAGCAGAGCAGACCAGTAATAATAATTATAACATGCGTATCGGTTGACGCCATGATAACAAACTATAGTTAGCATAATACGAACCAAGCCAAGAATTTTCGAAACTGCTATTATGCAGACGTATTAAATTTTGTGTTTGCGAAAGATCCGATTGCTGTTGAAAACGTACCAGTTATTAAGTGATGTACCTTCCGGTAATCTATTGCACAATAGAACCGCAAATAACTGGGCAGTAGCTGCAGTTTACATAAGTAATCTCTTGTTGGCTTACTCTCACCAGGTCAGTATCAAGGCCTTATCAATAAAGAAAATCCACCGGCACTTTGTGTCCAGTTTTACCCTACAGTGTAGACACATTGCTGACAAGCAGAGGGACCCTGTTGTGTTGGACTTCAGGCCCGTGCTTACACTTGAATGCAGCTTACTGGTTAAAACATTCTTTGTTTTATTCTAATTTTACAAATCCCACTGATACTCAAGATACGATCTGGAAAGCAGTCACATTTAATATGGAGCAGCGACGCATTAAGCTGCCATACCACGGGAAATACGGTGTATTAACGCAAGCCATTGCAGTTACTCTAGGAGTACGAGAGGAATGAATGAACAGATGGAATGTTCATTCATTCCTCTCGCACTCCTAGAGTAACGTCAATGCGCAGCCAGATCAAGTTTTATTACCGATACATAGGATCATCGGCAAGCACAACTTTAACCCAAATGATACAGTACAGTGTTGATAACATAGCAGTTCCATAACAGGAAAAATAATTCACGTAGTTTAATTATGTTTTTGGGGCCTGTTTAATAACAGAGAAAATAATATATGTCAACGAAACCAGATAAGACTTTGTTGGTGACGGGTTCATCGGCACGCAGTATTACTTGCAAATGCACACTCTGCAAACTGTTTGCCCCAACAAAACGGTAAAGTGACGATTGGTCAGCAGTTCCCTAGTTCAGGAAACGATTCGTTTAGATTAGTCTTCGGGCCACTGCCGTTGCCGCATCACCCGAAAAGTCTTTGGAATTGACAAGTAGAGCAATGTCAATCCACCGATGCGCAATAAGGTCATGATCAACAGCAATAAGGTCAACAGCAGACTGCACAGTTTATCAAGACGAGTACACGGTACATTCATTCCAAACTCCAAAGCACGTTTCGGTACAATACTATTGCTTTATGTGAAACGGGTAGCTTTTCTTTCCCCATACAGCAGAATTAACTGTAAACTACTCATGAATCATGTTTAACGTTATTACGGTGAAAAAACACTCGGCGCCCGTTTACTACGGCGCCCGTTTACCAGGCGAATCCGTTTTACGGCGGTGACATGTTTAATTTAATAATGGTATTTTGACAACATATACGTACCTTATCGCAGTTCAAGTTTGGAGTAGAATACTGCCATCCTGCCGAATATTGCTTTTTGAAGTTGTAATTGTATTCCTCCGGTATTCGTGACGTATAAACTGCACATTTGCTGACAGGCACGAAATATGTATTTCTGTGGTGCAAACAGTAATTCCTGGGACGCATTAGAGCGTTAGTCATGAAATTTCTCTTATTAATCATGCAGCAGACGACCTGTGTGATTCTCAATGCTTTGACCTTTTGTCCAGTCTCATCTGGACTACTGTTCTACTTTTGTGGAACGGAGCGTCTGTGTCCTTGCGCGAGAAGCCAGCAGTCGCACACCGGTATGCTGTTCGGGCGACCACGAATTATCCGGGAACACCAGTATCGAGGCTATTTATGATGAACCGATTGGGGATCCTGTTTACCAGATGCCAGATGGAAGCACCAGGAAGCCAAGTGACTGTACAAGAACAGACATCCACGTCCCCAAGTACATCTCAGAAACGGTTGTGTTCTAGGAGAAAAAAAGCCGTACATTTTGCAGCACGGTAGCCGCCCGACCATCAAAACACGCGTGACAACGAAAACTGGAGAAACAAAAAACTGAAACCCTTGCATGGAGACTGGGTAAAATTGTTGGATAATTTTTTCCGCTCTGGCAATGAAATTCTTAATTGTTCTTATTTGGCTTGTTGTCGGTCTGAATGTAGCTCCTGTCCGTCGTATTGTATTGCTAACGGTAAGTAAAGGTCCACAGGATAATCATTGCAAAGAAGCGTTCTTGCAACGTAATCCTGGTGTCCAATATACCAACCTTTCGAGTACAGGATCATCCTGATGAGACAGTATGTATCTCTTACGAGAAAAGTATCTCCGTATGAAACTAACTATTGCACTGGATCGTAAGGTAGGCCTTGAAACTGTATAAAGGAGGAAAACGTTGCCGCACCTCTTTTTTCAGTGGAGCACGCATCGCAGAAGATACCGGAAGCGGGTGATCTGGATTATGGAGAACAGAGACTTTAAACGCTTAACAGCTCGCTTCACACTGATTTAATTAAAAAGACATTCAACTTCTCAACATGCTTCAGTGAGTAATCGAGGAAACCTTTAACTACTCGTGCATCAAGAAATACTGTGTTTGCCATGTTGACAAAGAAATCGCTAACAAATCCAAACATCTGCGAAATTGTGCGTAAAGTGTGCCTCGACTCTTCCGTTTTTTGTCTTTCGCTATTCTTCTTCAATTGAATGCGTTAACTGACGAAAACGTTGCCGCTGTGATTTTCTCCGATGTTGACTTTCTTTTCTTTTCCATAAATTTGATGCTACTTCTGGTTCGCGCTACGCGAAAATGTATAGTTACAGTGCGTCTATTTTGGCTAATAACTCTGGCTATGATAATATTATTACAATTACAACGTCTAATATTTCATTTGTCCCAATTTCCGCCCACTGGGTGAAGGCATGGGCAGGCGTCTATCTATTTTCTTGTTTCGAGGGGGCCATTGGCAATCTGCTGATTTCATACCTGATCTTTTCCAACCGCAGTCTCCGCACTGGATGCGGATTACTGATCGCTCACTGTCTTTTGGCTTATACAATTCTGTGTGGCTTCAACTTTCCTATTGTCGCCACTAGCGTCTACCGGCGACAGATGCTAAACTGGCAAATGGACCCGAAACACTGTAAAATATACCAGTGGATACAGATGGGATGCCGGTTCGTGTCCAACTGGCTTGACCTTTATATCGCCATCAACCGGATGGTGGCATTATGCCTACCGCACCGGTACCGCGGTTTCTCCCACAAACGAACCGAAGTGACGGTTGTCACGGTGTTATGGATTGTGGCGTTCCTCTACGCCGGTTTAGGCTGGTTTGATGTGGGGTTCAGTTTTGTGGTGATCCCTATAGGGACGTGTGCCAGTTTGCCAAACGGACGCTTGGGGACGTTCATTTATTTTACGGGGTTTTATTTCCCGAGTGCAACCACCGCCAGATTATACGTGTTTATCTATGCGATGGTTCTGAGACAACGACATCTTGGGCTGGATGGTGCAGCGGGTGAAGACAGCAGACGCCGCAAACGAATGGTCACCACGAATATGATGTGTGTCTCGTTTCTAATGACCGCGGGCTGCTCAGTAATTTTGCCTGTATTGATCACCATCATTAAAGTTGCCGAAGATGACGTGAATTATCCGTTAGTACTGATTTGGATGGCAGCCACTCAGCTTGTTGGTTTTGCTGTAAATCCTGTAAGTCAAAAAGTAGAAATTTTCAGATTATGGCCTTGCGAAATTCGTAGTCATTACGCATCATGCGTAACAATGAATTACCATTACATGACTGTCATTCTCTTTTAATTACTGCAGCTTGTGTGCTTCGCAATGAAAGCCGATTATCGTTTTACGTTGGCGAGGATACTCCGCTCACTATTTTCAACGCCCAAAGGCAAGCAAGATCACAGTATTTCACCGGCAACTGGAAGCCAACGGAAACATGTTTCCGAGACGGGAGCAAAATTTAATACTCATCTAGCCTTAGTTGTCAGACATATTTAAAGAGATTAGTGATTGCTGAACTAATCGGTGCGTAACAGCAATTTCGCCGTATTTTTAGGAATACAGTCGATTTGTAATCGATGCAGAATGATATCGATGTCGTTGTTGAGGTAGGACATTTTAGGAGTACGTACTCGACGGACTACGACCCTGGGATAAATTTTTAGAAAAATTTTAAGTAACTTCTGCGCTGAAATTGTATGAAATTTCTTGAGCATTAATATTGCAATGCCTTTAGTGGTTGATGCCTCCGTATTCCCTCTAGTATAGACTTCGGAGTTCAACAGCAATGTTATGCCTCTGTAATTATTCTGCTTTTGTAATCGGGCCAAAATACGTATTAGTGTGCCGTTTGATTGGATACTGTATACCGCTTTTTGCGTTAAGCCGGCATGACGCTAATATTAAACAATGAAAAACGAAAACCTGGTTTCTAATGATTTATCCTAAAGATTACTCTATAGGGGATTGATACATTACGCAAATACAAATTCGCAGGAAATCTAAAACCATACAATGCGAAATGCCGATTATTTACTTAACACCATCCGCGTGCGAGTAAGAATTGTAAAACGCCGCATGAAAATTACTTCACCACTATAAAGGTACACGTGTACGTCTGTATACTATTCGCCACTATTCCCTCACTCAGGCAGAAAGAAGCATGAAAACATTCAGTATTAATATCTTAATAACTGAAATAGGAGGACAAAAATATGCAGCGCAACGCTGTACAGTTATTTTCAAGTAACAGCTGAGAGCTAAGAGAGCGTCCATCTGGCGATATGCACAATACGAGTAAGTACATTGAAGGATACAACAAACTCCACAGAGAAGCGTGATAAATTTTTAAAATCTAAAACTGGAATAAATCATCAATTATTGACAAGCAGCGTAGGATGTGCGGTGGATAATCTGTATTAGTTAGCAAATGACCAATGACAAACTCGCCTGCCCGCGCCCCTAATTTTATAAATTTAATGCAAGCGGTTTTGTAGATAAAATTCAGTTGCAACTGCGGGACTTATTTTGTAATTAAACGCTGCACGTACGGATTACGCATTACCGGCTAGCATTGATCCGTTCAACACTGGGATAAATTGCATGAATGTACCTAACACGTTTCTTCCGTTTTCCTCGAGCAAATAAGTCAGATTAGGGCGACGACGGTTGACGGTTATGCTTTCTAATTAACAAGACTCCACGGGTGTGGTGCTGTGCGCGGAAACAACGATAGTTTAGCGTACGGCGGATGTTTTTGCATCCACCGCGGTTGGTGGCACTGGTACACATATTAGCACTGACTTCTCCGATAATAGGAAATGCAGTTTCTCGTCCGGCGCCCGTCATCCTTTGACAAAGTATCCGTCGCCACATATTACAGGCCTAGGTCGACTGACAAGCAGATATCCAAAAGGTCGTGGCCGTCTCTAAACATCGGAATTAGTCTGTACCGAGTGGGTGTTCTCCCTATTCTCAGTATTCTGCATCTTGTCGCAGGTCAATTGTGCATGGAAGTAATCCTGATTAAAACAGCTTATCGTGCTGGTTAAGTATGGTAGCATGCGTCTTTGCAACAACCGGCTTCCAGTGGAGGAGTAAGGGTTTATACGGTATGTAAGGCATTCTTCGCTTTGCACGACACAATGAAATGTTTTAATAATAATCATCTATTCAGTCCCAGCATTCTTTCCCCTCGTGCAAGGTCGAAAGGTCATCCCAGCGCAACATGTACTTATAGCAGAAACGTTACACCGTTTTATTCATCATGATGGGTTTTCCAGCATTCCTAATACAGCATACGATTGTTGTCTGTTTGACGCTGAGACTCTGTTCAAGACAACGTCTGACACAGAGTAATTGCCATTATAAAAATGTCTTCACGCTGTGTGGCTAATAGTTCTTGTTTCAACATCACGTCGAACAAATCTCTTGGTTATATCCCCGAGAAATCGGTGAAACTATGGACTGCAGTCTATTTATTTGGTTCCTTCGAAGGCGCGATAGGAAATCTTCTCATTGCGTGCCTCATCTTTTCCAATCGGAATCTGCGCAGTGGATGCGGATTACTAATCGCCCATTGCCTTGTATCATACGCGCTATTGTGCGGTTTCAGTTTTCCCATCGTCGCCACCAGTTTATACCGTAAACAGATCTTACACTGGTCCATCGACACGAAATACTGCAAACTGTATCAGTGGATCCAGCTGGCGCTGCGATTTGCGTCCAACTGGTTTGACCTTTACATTGCGGTTAACCGCACGGTGGCGCTGTGTTTTCCGCACCGATACCGGCGATTTTCCAGCAAACGCAGTGAAATAATAATGGTGACCTTATTATGGAGTGCAGCCTTTCTATATGCCGGTTTGGGTTGGTTTAACGTGGGAGTTGTGTTTTTCATGCTTCCGATAGGTACGTGTGCCACGGCGCCCAGCGGACGCTTTGGAACGTTCATGTTTTATACGGGATTTTATATACCCAGTGCTGCCACGGCTGCTTTGTACGTTATCATCTACGGAGATATTTTAAGGAAAAGACGACATATTGGGTTAGAACGATCAGTTGGTGATCAGCAGAATAACAGGCGTTACAGACGGATGGTCACCACCAACATGATGTGTTTATCGTTTATACTGATTGCTGGCTGCTCGATGCTCTTACCGGTATTGATTACAATCATCCGGGTGGCGCCCGATGATGTAGACTTCCCTTTAATTCTCATTTGGATGGCAGCCGGTCAGCTGTTCGGATACGCTGTGAATCCGGTAAATCGAAATTTAATATATGTTCTTATAATAATAACAAAATTTTACCGCTTTTCGATGTTTTAGCTGATTTGCTTTGCGATGAAGGGCGACTACCGGCTGGCTTTGGCCAAACTTGTCCGCTACCGACTGGGTACCTGGAAATCCGGACAAGTCCATAGCTTACTGATACCGGGAACGTTTAGCGATCGGAAATACATAACCAATACGGGGACGAAGTATAACACTGAGATAGCATTGGCTGTCAGGCATATGTGAGGCCTCAGGCAATCCCCTCAACTGCGAAAGTTGGCTGTTTGGTGATTGTCACGATTCAGAAACCGTTAAAGTGTACTCTACAGTAGTCACCTAGTGTTCGCCGGTAATGGTGCCACAACCTTATAGTCGAAATTTTATATTTTTTCGATATCAAGGTATTTTTAGCGGTGGTCGCGCAATACTCGTACTGCATAATTATTATAATAATGACTGTTACCTACGTATTTTGTTGACCCTATAATGTCCTTATTTAAACTGAAAACAAAACAAATTAGATTAGAAATAAACCGGATTTCCGATTAAAAATGTCGAAAACGCGTAAAACTGTCGAAAATATTTCTGCAGTGCTTCTACACTTGCACATTAAATTAGCGAAATAATCACGAAGCACACTAAATTTCGTGAATTGCATTTATATACGCGAGGGAACGAGTATAAGATCAATCTGGAGAAAACTTGTTATTCCAGTTATTTACTGAAACACGGCTGACAAATTTGGTCTACAAAAGATCCTCCGAACGATATTTAAATTCATGGTAAAATCTCTGGAGCAGAAACGAATAACCTAGAATAATGGTCTTAGCATCTGGGAAATCTTCACCCAAAACATCCAAAATGCCACCAAATTAGAGACAAAACTCATAAAAAAACGAGGACGGAAAAGCAACGTCAAGCTGACTTCAGTTTCATCTTTACGCAGCCGAAACCAAAGTTGCCAGACGATAGCCGGCATTCATGAAGCTTCCAACAATCCGCATCGGGGTCGTATACTTCGATGGTGTCCCTTTCAACACCTTTCGGTCCCGCCCCACCCAGAACGAAGAGTTTCCCGTCAAGAGATATACACCCCGGCAACCAGCGCGGTTGGACCAAATCCCCTGTCATGGCAAAACATGGCACTGACAACACGATTTTCATTTGAACACCTATTGCCGCAGACGTGCAGGGCTTCTCCAAGTATTTACAACGGATATACACCTACCTTTCCTCTGCCACTGATTGGTGACGGGGTTGTAAGCCTCCACGAGCGCAGAGTACTGGTCGTTTAATTCTCCACCTACACAATGTACCGAAGGAATTACCTGAGGAATTAAACTCTGTCATGATGCTCAGCAATACTCGTACCGACAACGTAAATCAGCCCGCTGGGCGCCACACACGCAGCGCAACCGTAACGTGCAGTGGGCATGTCGGCCAGTCGCGCCCAGTTATCTGCTTCGGGGTCGTAGGCCAGCGCCAAACTGCTACCGTTTCCCTCTTCGATTTCCCCACCGAATGCGTACAACTTCCCGTTCCATGTCACTATCTCCAAGCCCATAACACCAACAGGCAGAGCGGCTACCGCACTCCAGGAATTGCTTTTGAAATCATATGCTTCCACGGACGACACTGGGTCACCAAAAGGTATATAGCCACCGGCCGCATAAACGCGACCATTCAGGGCAGCCAAACCTTCTGAGTGGCGCAGTGTCTGCATGTCGGCCACGGGCGGTCCCCACTTGCCACGCAGGCCCGTGTAGCGGCTGTTGCGTTTAACGGTCTTTAAACCACGCATGCTGGAGATCATCATCCAACGATCGTCCATCATAACTGCATTCAAGCAATCCGCGAACATATCCAATTCTTTCAGGCGCCATACTGCCGGGATCAACGGATTGAAAACCTCCACCGTAGCTCCATCCTCATTATCATCGCCACCGCCCACACAGACGATCACTTCCTGCGCACCTGACACCAATAAAACTACATTAACTGGCATTCCTCCATAATTTCCATTATATGTTTGTATCGGCTTAACATGAATTCGAAGCTTATATCGACCAAAACAATGCATTTTCGGAGTGTAAATTAACCTGACCAGCGAATTCACCGTCTATAGCGTTCTCCGTCCTGACTCAGGATAATAAAAGTCAAACTATCTGCTATATGAGAAACCAGGTCGGGCAAACCAAATATAATTACCACTTTAACCAACTGAGTCACCCATACCGAAAGAAGGCCGCGGGGTGGTGTTCAGTGTCATTCCGCCGGTCCATTCACCGAACATTCCGGACGGACACGGTGGCATGCCCGTCGGTGCACCAGCCAGGGCCTCATCGTACTCCTGTCGAGACGGGACGCTCAGGAAGATAGCGCGAACACTATGCAGGACTGTGGGCACGTGCGCCAACCGTCGGGCGCGGTCGTAATCCAACCAGCGCAGCACAGCTTCCAATACCTCATCCTCACTGAAGACTTCCACTTCATCCGATGCGATCAGCGCAGTCAGCTGCAAACAAATAAAATGTGCAATGTAAGAGCACTGTTTCATTAGCGTCAGCTTATTGTCGCTGAGAAAACCGCCACGGTCATTGTGCTGACTCTCACTGACAAAACCGCATATGATCTGCTACGCTGTAATATCGCCCAGTAAGTAGACTCGGCACCTGTTGCGCGTCCATCTGCAGGAAGTCCTGGCTTTGCGCCAAGCGCAGGAAATTTGGATGGATTAAGGCCAGCGCTGTGTGAGACAGACGGGGATTGTGGTGCTGAGAAGCCAGAGCGTGGACGGTCAGACAGTTGGACAGGCTCATGTGCTTCTCCAAGTATGCCCAGCAGAGTCTGGCCACTGGAGTCATTTGCAGAAACTGCGCAGCAATCAACACGGGCACCACGTTGTCATCGCTGAGGCTCAGATCCATCGTGTAGGCATACATTACCAACCTGCACAGCGAGTTAAGTTTGATCATGTTTGGCCATAAATTAAACAGGAAGGTAAGATAAACTTAAACAGTCATACAGAACCATCTGTAGTGTGGTGTTGGCGAAGGAGCAAGCGGCAAATCTGCAGCGTCATCAATCATTTCACGACTCGCACTGCTAAAGTTCCAATTCCAGTTCATGACTGCTCGGACAGCTTGTTCAGCCGAATTAATATCATGTTACGCTGTTTACCATTACTCACTCGTTCAACGTGCGGTTATCGATGTTTCGTAGCTGGAATTCTGGCTCGGATGACTCTTTCCAGTTGTGAGTAAAGATGGCGCGAAAATAGGGGCTCTGCACGCTGAGCACACTACGATGGCACGGAATGCCCACCGAGGATTCGCCGTTGCCTTTCAAGACAACATCACAGAAGGCGCCCGTCGACTGCAGATCCCGCAGTCCGCGTAGAAATTCCACAGCGTCAGCGGGACATTCAGGAAGAGGATCTGTAAAACTGTTCGGCTTCGACATCGCGTAGGAAATAAGGATGATAAAGAGTCAGTCAGTCCCAAACGGAATATTCAGGGAAGCGCAGCTAATGATTGAGCTGTCTAATGGCTAACAAAAACTAACAGAAAGTAGATTATCAATTAAAAGTCAGGAAGGTCTTTAAGTTTTAAGTTTTAACTTTTAACGATAAGAAGCTGGTTCTAAAATCGTAACAAGTCGATATTTTACACTTTACAGTGCATGGTATACGAGGCAAAGGCAAAGTGGCAAAAGTGTGCTGCTGTATGATACGAGTACTGTACAGTACTTTTAAATTAATAAGTATAGAATAAGATAATTATTATGATTGTACGACGTTTGTCTGGGCGTCTTCCTGATCGCAAAAAAAATGGTACCATGAATGGTAAATCGTGATGGCTGGAGCGGAGCTGACTTGTCACATTTCCCAGTGCAAACTGTTAATTACAGTCGTTCTATGTAGGTTAGTAAAATATGCCTATACCCTGGATCTAAGCCTGAACGAAAACAACGTGGAAGTCATACTGATTGCCGCGGAGTTTCTGCAGATGACTACGGTTGCCAAGAAGTGTTGGAAATTCGTTGAAGAGCACATGAGCCTGTCCAACTGCCTGCTGGTCTATGCTCTGGCTTCTAATCACGCTAATCCATATCTGGCCGAGAAAGCCTTGACTATCATCCATCCTCATTTCCTGCGCTTGGCGCACAGCCAGGATTTCCTGCAGATGGACGCGCAACAGGTGCGGAGTTTGATTAAATGGGAGAAATCCGGTGTAGAACATGTGTGGTCTTCCTATGACGCAGTTTACTCAGCGACATTATGCTAGCTGTAATGAGATAATGTTTTTAAATTGTACAGGTTTTTTTGTTGCAGCTAAATGCCCTGATCGCATCCGATGACGTGGAGGTGTTTAGTGAGGATGAAGTGTGGGAGGCGGTGCTGCGCTGGTTGGATTACGGCCGTCCCGAGCGACTGACTCACCTACACACGGTCCTGCAGAGTGTCCGCGTTTCTTCTTTGACGGACCAGTGTCGACAGGAGTATGTTGGGACCTTGGCCAGTGTGCCGACGGAAATGCCACCGCCCCCGTCCGGATTGGCTGGCATGTCAACGCAGAACACCACACCGCGACATTCATTCGGTAAGAGTCACTGAAGCGGTACAAAGTTGTACGATCTGGCTTCTTGTGAAGCCGATGGTTAGTATATTTAGACTTGAGACAGGCGCAGTACGTTTTTCATGATTATTTCATTGCTTGGGACTTGGACTGCTTAGTTTGATCGACCTGAGCCTGGTTTTACTCTCTACGTCTAATGGACATTATGGACTTTGTTGTGGAACAAATATAAGTTAATATTGTTTTTCTGGCGTCATGTGCGCGGGAAGTGTTAGTCTGCTTGGGCGGTGGGGATAAGAATGAGAAAGGAGCTGCGGTCGAGATCTTCTGCCCGTCAATCCCGGCAGTGTGGCGTCTGAAGGAGTTTCCACTGCGCCAGGACTGCTTGGGGGCAGTGATGTTGGACGATCGTTGGATGATGATCTCCAGCAAGTATGACTTCAAGACCATCGAAGTCGACAACCGATACACAGGCCTGCGTGAGGAGTGGGGACCGCCGGTGGCCGACATGCAGACACCGCGCCATTCGGCAGGTTTGGCTGTCCTGAACGGTCGCGTTTATGTGGCCGGCGGCTGTACACCTGGGTCTGGCGAAGAACTGTCGTCCGTGGAAGCCTATGATTTCAGGAGCAATTCCTGGAGTGCGGTGGCCTCTCTACCCGTTGCTCTGAGGGGCTTGCATATGATGGGACATAGCGGGCTGTTGTACGCAGTCGGTGGTGTAGACAAGAAGGGACGCGCTAGCAGCTTGGTGTTCGCCTACAGCCCTGCAGTTAACGCTTGGAGACGACTGGCCGATATGCCCACTCCACGTTACAGCTGCTCTGCATGTCTGGCGCCCAGCGGGCTGATTTACGTAGTTGGTACCTCAATGAATGAACTTAATTAGTTCTAGCAATTAGTTCTTACTGTATTTGTGTAGGTGGAGAAATGGACGACGAAGACCTCGTGGACGTAGAGGCCTACAACCCCGTAACCAATCAATGGCAGAAGAAAGGTTTGTGTTTTCGTATTACATTGTACGCAATGGTCGTATACGGGTACGGGGTATGATTCTGGATTTACATGAAAATCGTTTGCATGGGAATCGGCCCGTAGTATTTTTGCTAATACAGGCGATCTGGTTTATCCGCGCTGGCGTCCGGGATTTGGCTGCGTGGACGGGAAGCTGTACGTTCTCGGTGGCATTGGACCGATCGGTGCTGAGAATGAGACCATTGAAGTGTACGACGCCGATGCGGATCGTTGGGAGCTACATCAATGCCGGCTGCCATCCTGCAATTTTGGCTTCGGCTGTGTACAGATGAAACTTAAACGGCCTTGACAGTGCTTTACCGGGATGAATGTGTACGCCGCATTACGTATGGAACGTTGGACGGGGGAAGGGGATAGATAATCATGCAGTTTTATTTTTTTCATATTCGTTGACATTTTGCTCTCGTTGTGTTGGAAGTTGTATGTTGAGAAGTTGTCAAGGCCATAATTTCTAGCGGTTTAAAATGATGTACTGTGTTTATTTCTAATTCTTATTAGAAATAAACATTATAATAATAATTATTAAAAGGTGAAATGTCGCTCGGATGACCACATCTGTCTCAACAAATTACAGTATTGTGCGAATTTTGCTTCACAGATCGATGTCGTTAGGTGCCGCATTCTAAAGTACTGTACTACTATTTTCACGCATATTGACTAGGTAATTTGCATGCTTTTAGGCAAAAAAGCTGTTTTCGGCAGTCTCACATGTGAAAGATAAAAGGATCAGCTACCAAGGTAACTCTGTGTATTAGTGTGTACACATAGAGATGGGCAAACTAAAACTGACTAAACTAAACTAAAACTCGGTTAAAAGTTTTAGTTGCTAAAACTGACTTGGTTAAACCTTTTAGTCAACTAAACGCTGGCGACTAAATTTCTTAGCGGTTAACCACGAGTTGGTTAAAATTTTTAACCGGTTAACCAAGGTTAACCGAGACTAAAGTTAAATTTTTCGGTTTTCAAATCAAGTGTAATTTACTGCGTCCAAGCTATTGTCATTTGTAAAAATATATTGCTCATTTCGCCGTACGCCTATGGTTGCCGAGCCAGACGAGCTTAAACTTTACAGAACACGTATATAAACAGTCATTTAATTGCGGCTCACTCAGACACTGGAATAATATAGCCGTAAATCAAGATGCATTACACACCTCCTGGTACTGCTGCAGTCGTCCGTCCGTAGTTTCGCTATTTGATCATACTTGAGGCGATTATTAGGGGAAGGGAAGGAGTGTAATGCACCAATGAATTTATTTTGTATATTTGGGCTTAGTCTGCTAGGGCCCTAACCAAACAATTTTGGTTAACCGGTTAACCGTGGAAATTTAGTAACTAAAATCAACTTGACTAAAATATTTAGTCACTAAAAAGCTTCTTACTAAATTTTTTAGTTACCAAAGTTTGCTAAACTAATTTTTTTAGTTTTGGTCAGGTTAACCGAAGTTAACCGTTAATTAGTCGACTAATTTTAGTACTGAGTACAGGGAAGGAGTGTAATGCACCAATGAATTTATTTTGTATATTTGGGCTTAGTCTGCTAGGGCCCTAACCAAATAATTTTGGTTAACCTGTTAACCGTGGAAATTTAGTAACTAAAATCAACTTGACTAAAATATTTAGTCACTAAAAAGCTTCTTACTAAATTTTTTAGTTACCAAAGTTTGCTAAACTAATTTTTTTAGTTTTGGTCAGGTTAACCGAAGTTAACCGTTAATTAGTCGACTAATTTTAGTTTGCCCATCTCTATGTACACATATTCGCTTTGCGACTGTCGCTGCGCGCATAGATAAATCAACGCTGGTCAACCTAATTAAAATTATGGATTTTTTGACGTTCGTGTAACAGCTTGTAATTTTGTATTTGAATAGAAATATACAATACAACTTCAAGACCAAACTACTCGATGCGATAGCCTACTAGCAGCTTTGTTTAGGCCTTGCCAAAGCGTGTGCATAGTGCTAGCGTAGAATTACGAAATCTCTGCCCTCTTTCGATCGCATACAGTAAATTTAATGTAATGCAAAATAACGATTGCATTATTTAACACATTTTGTAAATAATATCGTACAACAGTAAGTCAGATAGCATAGCGCGGAGAAACGGTCATATTATCACCGCTCTGAAAAGTGAAAACTTTTTCGTGAAGTACTTTGTACATGGACAGTTAACAGTTATCCTTTATACGGGGAGAGACAGTACTTTTGTACATTTTGTTCTACTTTGTTACGTTATGAATTTGATCGAATACAGACACAGCGGCGGTGGTATCGGTAGGTGAGCCGAAATCTTTTTGCAATTGAAACAGCAAAAGCTGGTAAGTGATATAAGTTCCGGATATCTGTAAAACGTTCAAAGATGTTGTGAACTGGTGTTTATACCCCACAGAGATTCAACAAAAGAGACGGCATAATCGCTTACAGTCAACACAGCCGAAGCGTCAATGGTAAACAAGCCTCCGCACGTAAAGCCGATATGGTTACCGGTAAGCTTATTCAAAAATACCGACAGACTAGGAATTTCTCCCGACTGCTTCAACCTGGGAATATTCAGCTTGTACAGCAACTGCAGAATGGAGTGAGCCTACAACAGCAAAACCGAATAATGGGAAACGCCCTTAAACTGACTCGACGCACATTCTCACCGCTCTGTTGACCTTTATCCCGATGACGGTACTGATGCACACTTGACCAAAATGGAAGGAGAACCAGAAAAATTCATTAAAGGCGATAAGAGCGGTAAACCGTCCGTGCGTCAAAAAATCCGACACGGTAAACACGAGCATGAACATTTCTAGTACACTCGCAAAAATGCCGACTAAAACAACTGGTGCGAATATCTCATCGATCATCTCAATCAGAACACACAGCTTTTCGTGAGCTTGCCGGTACCACTCCACTGACCGATGAATAATTTCGCCATCTGAGGTAATATGCCTTTGCAAATGCTTATATAGACTGTCAAATTCGGCACAAACGCAGTCACCCAACAGTGCAAAGAGCATTAGCGGAAGGATGTAAACAAAACTCGCAACAAAATGTCCAGCCATACAAATGACAATATTGATGGTCTTCAGAGCAGAACCGTCCATTCCAGCAAATAACATGTGCCGCTGCGCATCGAATGTCCCATTGTCGATCAGTACAGCCGACCAAATACTTTGCACATTGAGTAGGGTAAAAATAATTGCCGCTATAACAATCCAGTTTCGTTTGCGTGGCAGTTGTGTAGCAAGGTTTGCGTCGCTCGAGCTAAAACGCAGTACTTCCCATTGGATGTACAGTTTGTCGAAACATTTGGTTTGGCATGAATTAATCAACATAATGTGCCAGGAAACAACTTGAATGAACCAGATGAGAAATGTCAATGTTAACACGAAACCGGATAGATTGCTGCCGCTTAGTGGATTCCCCATTTCGCGCAGTAAACTTTGAAAATTCCACAAATATTTTCCAAAGTAGACAATCAGTATGGTCACTGCCGTCCAATTCCAGTAGCGACTGATGTTGCATTTGCGAGGTTTTTCCTTCACTGACGAGCTGTCTTCCAGTAACTTGGGGCTTGCAACGTTGTCTTTAAAAAAATCATCAGTATGGTAAAAACAGCCACCTATACTCATAAGAAGAAGCAGGGGACGGCAAAGGTCAACTAGGTGATGTTTCACTGACGTAGAAGCGGCCATCTTTTATATAAGTGTATTAATTACAGCGCGCACAGAACTTACAGCAACACAGTATACAGACTGTATATGTAATGTCTGTTAATAACCAAACTGTCTTTTGAGGTCACCACATCGCAATGATCACATTATTAAACACTCACGTCCCACTAACAACAAAACAAACGAAAAGAGATGAGTATCCAAACATGCTGATGCTGCAGTCTGTAAACAAGATGCGGAATTGCTATCGTGCAGAATTACATAATCCCGATCCCTTTGGATATAGGAATTTCATTGTGGATTTGTGCTTTGTTACCAACCATCATACCCGGCTTTACCGAACGAGTAATACAGACTTAAACAAATGTTTATTTTCGTGTCACGGTTGCTTTTATGCGGCCAGACTTTTTGTCAAACTCCCACCCGTTTACGGCCAGCTACATAAATTCGCTTGAGAAAAGCACTGGTAATTCGCAAACAGGTGGCTCGCTAACTTGTTTATTAACAACTTTAACGTCGTTCCACGACGATGTAGCCTCAGAAAATTGTTTAACTGAAACCATTTACGCCCATCATTATCAAAACAATGGCTGCATAAAATTAAGTACGGTTGTAAGGAATTCTGTAGCGTAAACGAATTCTGCTGCCGGCTTAGTTGAAATAGTAAACTATATATACAAGCCATATATATCTATATATCGTAGATATAACCCGGGACTCGTTTTTTGTTAACGTATGCCGCATTACACTGGACATTGTACATTTGTATTATATAATTTGTACGTACTTTCTGCTGTACTTGTACAAAGTGCAGTGCATGATTGTCACGAGCTGATATATTTAATGTGGCTAAATGCATTAGCAAATACATTTAATTAAGTCATAAAGCTTACAACCTTGAAAATGAACGTGCAGAAGTACAGTCGTGTTCCCTAACGTACGTAGGTGTACTCGTACCTTGTATGTTGATCGGTCACGATCGCCAAGCAAACCCGGCTTCTCGCAACCTGGTTTTTGTCATTAAATCAGCATAAATGCGGTTTCGAACGTAAATCTGTCCCCACTTCAATTTCGGTAACACGTGAATCAATTGACGTTTGAAGTTTTCAGTTAACTGCACAAAGCGCGGCGTATGTACCGGAAGTCGTTTTCACTTCTTAGAAAAACCGGAACCTGTAAGATGCCCCATCAGCATTACTGCACCGATTTCCGTCGCGCACGTTATATCGTGGCCTACTTCACGTTTTCTGCTGAATCTCCAGAAATCTCACGAGAAATGCTTTAAGAACCCCAAATGTAGTTGCACATGGCGTATTGGCGGTTACTATTACATAGTTTAGCAATCTCTTATACCATTTTCTTAAGATTTACACTTTCCTACTAGCCACAATGTCGCGGAATATTCTGTTTGCTTTACTATGCGTGACAATTGTTAGTACCGGCTTTGCCCAGTTTACGTCCATATATCCGATTGACAAGAAGCTGAAGATCGTTACTGTGGAGGTAGCAAAATAATCTCAATACAAACTGGCTTGAGTTTTGCAGCGCACGATATATTCTTGCAGATTCCATACCTATTCAACAAGGATAAAACAGGATTTATACCGAATCTCCTGAAACGTTTCGCGCAATATGGAGCATTAAATCTGGATCTGGATAATATTACTTTTGCTCATGACTTCACCGAAGCGAAAAACTGGATTATGGATCGAGTATGTACCTTTATTTTAACCACAGCCTGCTGATAATAACTAATCTGCTGCAATCTTTTTATATGCATATATTATGCAGAAATACAATCTCGACATTTTTGCGGCGGCTGTGGAAAATGACGGCGTTTTCAGTGGCGATCTACATTTCACATATCCGATTTGGGGCTCTCATGTTATACAAGTGAGGAATAAGAAAAAGATGGATGTCACCACGGTATCCGTTCTCAGCACCACACCAACGCAACAAACAATGCAGGTACGTTGCACTTTCATGCCTAAATCACGTCACATAGGTAGACTTTTAGCAGTGATGCAGCATGACCTTTATGAAAAACTAGTAGTAGAGTATTAACCTTTTTATACGAAAATCAGCGCGATGCAGTGTTATATTTGTACCGTACGTTATCTATAACGATGACTAAGCCTATTTGCCGATGACGGCCTTGAGCCTATTTGCCGGTAATTGTAGCACGCTATTTGCCGTTGTTTTTTTGATTACCTAATAATACGTTGTACCACAGGTGAATAAAGAGAGGACTAGCAGCAATATGGTGCCACAGGCACAGCGGTAATTGCTGAAATTATTATTTTTGTTTAAATAGGCGCAACCAGGAAATTATCCAGTATCCGGTCAGTTAGGACCGCCACAAGGTGACAGTGCGCAGCCCGGAACACTGGCTGATGCACTGAAAGCCGTTCAGGATGGCAAAACGACTCTGGTCGGACGAACGCCCGTTGTTGACACAGCCATAAGAGATCCGAAGTACCCGGATTTGTTTCTGGACACTATGCAGGGCGCGTCCACTCCACTGCCGGTTTTCTCCAGTTTTGCGGTGAAAAGCGGTACGTGAAACAATGAGAAAACCGCTCGAAAGCAGTCGATATGTCTTAAGTTTTATAAAAAGAAATACATCGCTTCTCTCTCGTAAGATGATTATAATCATGATACGCATTACTACTTTCTTACCAAAGCGCTCAAAAATCATGGCTGATTTTTGCTACATACAGCTCCGGAAACCATGGCGCGTCTCAATGCTGCCATTGTGGCCATGCGGGCAACTAAAGAAACGGAGGCGTTATTTAACGCGACATTCACTCCTTCGCCGTTCATTGAGCCTCCAGCGGATTTTATTCCCACTTTCAATACGACGTCCACGCCCAATTCCACGGTAACGCCCCTATTGGTCTTCCTGCGTCAGCATGGGTACGATTTATTCTGACGATCCTGTCGTGTATTTAGAGCTCCAGCTAGCTGATCCATGGATTTGCTGACCCTTCAGCTTATCTGCATTTGCCGCCGATATGCAGCTTAATTCGGTTTTGGGTATTTCTAACTTGCTATTAAAATTGTATTGCAATATCACGAAGCGTTTATGTACTAGTTGTTCGCAAAAGTCTTCTAGTGATTTTATACTGTTTAGTATTTTATTATGACTAGAACAACTTGACTTGGGTGCTTCATATAACAATACAAATCAGAAAATATTGTGACGGAAAATTTGATAAAATCGTGTTTAATCTTCGCGAGAGGCAAAGTACAACTCAAACAGACTGATTTCTAAGTTTTTGTCCAAGAAACAAACACTACTCGGTATGAGTTTGCGTATGCATACAATTGTATATACTTGTTCATAACAGAAGTAACATCGCATTATGGAGTTTATCATGACTCATGATGTACATTCTAAATACAGCGCAAATGCACAATTATTAATTACGTGCCCGGTTCGATTTCGTAAAAAGGCATTCATGGATTACATGTGCCGAGCACCGTCAAAATACAAAGCCAGGACGGATGTGTTTTAATTGTAACAATTTCGTTGTAATTTTACGTAGTCTACGTACTCCAGACGTACCAATTAACGTCAAACATTGCGCGATAACTCTACTTAAACATACTGTCGCCGTCACGTCTCGGGTCTGCGCAACACACGTCAAAAAAGTGCTACCTGGCGAACCGGGGTGGAGTGTGGCATTTGGAGGACCACCAGAATATTATTGTTTTGCTGAATTGTAATAGATCTATAATTGAAATATGTTCAGAAATAACCCTAACTGAAATTGTTATGGCTATTGTTCGCCATGCGGCTCCACGCACTTATATGCCTAACGCGACCTGTAAGTGCATCTTACGAGTCAAACAATCCGACGGTAACCCACAGTCCCACACTGGCACAACAGGAAATCCATTAGCGTCTAGTACGTCAAAAGCTCAGCAGGTGTCCCTTCCATTGAACAACATGGATATCAAGTTTGAACCCGTTTTTACACGGTACTTTTAGACGTAGGTTATAACGCGCACGAGATGATTATAAAGAACATTAAATGGGACAATTTCGTCTTATAATTTGGGTTTAAATGTCAACCATCTATGCCTGCTCGTATATATCTGTATACTCTTTGCATTAACTTAAAACCGTGAATAGCAAAACATGTCTGCGACACAATTCAACGTGACCTTTCTCATCCAACAGTACAACACTACCACCGTCTATATTTCCCTCCGTCAGCTCCAAGAATGGTTGCCAATTTATTTAATATTATCCTTCGGAGGAGCTATCGGCAACCTGGTCATCGTTATCGTAATCGCATCCAGTCGTAAACTGCGCACAGGATGTGGCCTGCTCATTGCCCACTGTCTGGCCTCCTACGTGCTGTTGTGCTCCATCTCCTTCCCGATCCTGGGCATAACTATCTACGCACGCCAGATCAACCGCTGGGAACTGAATCCGAAAGACTGCAAAATTATCATGTGGATCATGATGACCGGCCGGTATGCCGGCAACTGGATGGACATGTACATTGCCGTTAATCGCGTCGTGGCATTATGCATACCGCATGGATACAGCGCCTTCTCGGCAAAGACGAAAGAGATGGTGGTTATCGGTGTACTGTGGTGCTCTGCCGGGATTTTGTCCGTGTTAGGGTGTTTTGATTTTGGCATGATCTATGCACCTACACCGCTGGGACAGTGTACACCCTTTCCACAAGGACGGCCGGGATTTGTGACCCTTCTTATCGGGTCGTATGGGCCAGCAACTTTTACGGCGATATCGTATGTAATTGTTTATGTAAAGATTTTAATCCGAAAAACCAGGAATGCCGTCAATAATGAAGGTCACGAGCGGAATCCCCGAGTGGAGAGGAAGCGCATCATTACCGCCAACACGCTGTGCTTGTCGTTCCTGTGGAGCACGGTGTGTTTCATGGTGGGACCGGTTTTGGCGGTGATGATCCCGCCGGATCATAGTGCTCAAGACGTCGTGAAACCAATGACAGCGCTGTGGATTGCCGGTATCCCTATGATTGGCTACAGCACCACGCCGGTAAGATAGAATGAGCTGCGTTGTTTTGTGTTGAAATACCAAAACTTGACCTTTTAGATAATCTTTCTTCTGATGAAAGAGGACTATAGAGCGGAATTGTTTCGACTGTGTGGCAGAAGGTCTATGCGCATTACCACCAAGATAGGATCGGGAACCGATTCCAGACCCGATGGGACCCGCTCCCACCACAAGACCAACGTTCTCGACTAACCCAGATTCAGTGCACGTTGCTACGCTGTTTCGGCCTACAATTCTGGATTGAATGTCGTAAAACGCCGTTATGTGCTTACACGACAGTCTCGGTACTAGGGACCGAAGATTTGCTCGGTATTTAAACTGCATCATGGTTTACGGTGTAAAAAGCATCAGTTGATGACGCTAATGCGGCGAACCATCATGAAATTTAGTAAAAGCAGCTACAGCTGCGTGGGCAGCTAAAAATTCGATATACGCACGGTTAAGTTATTATCTGATAATTAAATACTTCCGACACCAGATACTCCTAGTTTCTGGAATGGCAATATATCACTACTTTTCGATAAATTGTTACTAATGTCATGGCCCGGAAGCGATGTCGATGTACTACGCCGCGGAACGAATTGTACTGCACATGCACAACCGGAAGCCACGCGATATATTTATTGGAAACTGCTTTGTATATGGAGACTTCGGGAGCCGATTAACAAGCTTTGTGATGATGGATTCAAGCAGAACTTGAAAATATATGACGTGCATAATATATTGTTATTACTTTCTCTTAACGGAAATCGAGCGAATGCGCAAAACGCAGCCTTAACAAACAAGTTTTCAGCCGCTGATCACTGCGTCTTTATCTGTAATTTAAGGTAGATGTATGCGAGCACACATTTTAGCTGCATGTCGTTGTCAAACACGACCTTTGTAGCCAACACTGCATATAACAGCTCCGATGTCCATCTTCCCGTAAGAACGGTTATTGCATGGCTATCAATATACCTGTTATTATCATTGGGAGGAGGTATAGGAAATTTCCTACTCGTTATCGTCATTGCATCCAACCGCAAACTGTCAAGAGGTTGTGGAATCCTCATCGCCAACTGTTTAGCATCGTACACTCTGCTTTGTTGTGCATCAGTTATCCCGTATTAAGTTTGCAAATCTACGCCAAAGCCATCAGCCAAAGGCAGCCAGGTATCCAAACTTGTCAAATCACCGTATGGATACTGATGACCTTGCGGTATACCGGAAACTGGTTTGAAATGTACATCGCTGTTAACCGAATCGTCGCTTTACTAAGGCCGCATTGCTACCGAAGTTTTCCTTGAAAAAGAAAGAGCTGACCGTTAGTGTCGTTTTGTGGAGTTCAGCGGCGATTTTGGCGCTAATTGGTTGTTTTAGCTTGGGAATGTCGTATGAGCCGACACCGCTAGGTAACTGTACTAGTGCTTTCCCCGTTGGAAAATTCGGAACGCTTATCATGGCGGTTGGATTCTATGGGCCAGCCGCTTTTACCGCGATATCTTACATTTCGTTATACTCTAAATTATTAGCGAAAAGAAAGGTCCACGCGATTACATCACATGATTCGCCGAAACGCACCAACCAGATGACCAGTAAACGATTACGAACCGCGCATACCATGTGTATTTCGTTCTTATGGAGCATGGTGTGTGGTTTGGTCATGCCCATTACGACCACCGCCACCCCGATTATCGACGACCATGAAGTGCTGATGCCGGTAACGGCACTGTGGCTGGCTGTATTTGCCATGCTGGGATACACCAGCACCCCGGTAGGTGATTCTGTATGTTGTACCTTCATTCACCTGCAAACAGCAAATGAGCAGTGTAATATACGAGTATGTATTGCAATATACAATATAAAAGAGCAGTATTGAGACGATTTATTCCATTTATTGTATAGCAGTGTTTCAGCCGGTGACCTTTCAGGTTATTTTTCTTGGACTGAAAGACGACTACCGAGCGGAGATTCTCCGCTTGTGCAGGCGAAATCCTGTGTTTCTATCGAAAGTACTGTCTGGATCGGTCAAAATGTACAGAAACGAAGAGATGCGCTTGCAGCGCAACGCGGCAATTTCAGGTTCAGCTGGAGAGTCAGTGTGACTTCCTCGTTTTTAGACTTGCATGATATTTACCATGAGCAAGCGCCGAGCGTTCTTTAAATAACATAAAGTTTAAAAATAATGTTCGTTATAATGCATGTATTGTGGGAAGTAGAGAGCAGCCAACTCTGTAGTGCGTCATTCGGGAACACTTTAAAGCAGTATGCCATACTTCTAGCCATCGGATCGTCCAATTATCGCTGTTAGCTGAAATGAGTATTCGTAAAGACGTCTACTGGGTAGATGTGCAAAATGACGTGCTCACTACTCTAGCTGTTGATGTTGCGAAGTGAGGCTGAACGAACATTACTAATTGACTGATGTTGATATCTTGTGGAATAATGTTGGAGATGATAAGCGAACTGAAGCACATCTGAGAGCAGTCAGCACTAAATATGCCGGGGCCTGGCTCAACGCTCTTCCTGCAAAGGTATTCGGTAACCACTTCCTGGATGACCAGACTTTCCGTATTTCTGTAGACTGTGGCTTGGCGCTAGGATCGTAGAGCCTCACTCCTGTGTCAGATGTGGAAAAGACGTAACGGAAAATGGATACCACGGACTAGCCTGCCAAAAAGGTGTTGGTAGGAGGGAACGGCATAACGGTATTAACGATATTATTTTGTGGAATGCCGGCATTGAATCTTATCCTGAGCCTGTGGGATTTTTGCGTGAAAACGGAAAGCGGCCGGATGGGGCTACGCGATGGAAGTGGTACCGTGGACAACCGCTAGTCTGGGACGTGACATGCAGAGACACGATGGCGGATTCGTATATTGACGCAACCTCGAAGTGTGCGGGCGCCGCCGCCGAATTGGCATTCACTGTCAAGATGGGGAAGTACAAGTCGCTTACTGATCGTTGTCATTTTGTTCCCATTACATGCGAGACATTTGGCACATACTGTAATGGCACAATTGTTTTGTTGAAAGAGATTGGTAAGAAACTGTTTATGCGAACAGGCGAGAGTCGTTCCACTTGTTTTTTGTTTCAACGTTTAAGTTTGGAGATTATGCGGGGTAATGCTATGAGCATATTAAGCACAGTCCCTTCTCGTGTTAACTGTGACAAATTCTTCATTTGATTGTATTAGAC